ATCAATTCAAAGTTTATTTTTAAACTGCTGACATATATGTAAGTTTCCAGTAATGGATGAAAGGCCATTTTCATTTCGGTTGTGGGTAGGGATAATGGGGAGTCAAATTTCTGCTTAAAAGACTGAAGGCCCTTAGGATTTGTTAACACTGCACCCCAGACATAGAAAACAAACTTATGGTTACCAAAGGGGAAAGGGGGGTGGGAAGGGATAAATTAGAAGGTTGGGATTAACATATTACATGCTACTATATATAAATAGATAACCAACAAGGACCTACTGTATAGCACAGGGAACTATACTCAACATTTTGTAATAACCTATAAGGGAAAAGAATCTGCAAAAGAATTTATATAGGTATATATACGTGTAACTAAATCACTGAGCTGTATACCTAAAATTAGCATGATACTGTAAATCAACTATACCTTAATAAAAAATAAAACAAAAACAGTGTGCACGCACGCACACACACTCTGATAATTCAATTTACTGGGGCTGTACTATAAGTGGCAAAACTGGAGTTTTCATGTTCTCACTGCCACGGTTTCAACCAAAAAGCTACATGATCTCAGTTCAAACTGGCCATGGGCAATAGTACTCTTGAACTGAAAATCTACTTAAAATACCAATTTCAAAGTTTGGAAACTTTACTGATATAAAGTGAAACAGTAATAAGTAAGAGTCACCAAGTGTGCAAGAGGCACCTTCCTCCCTCCTTTATAGTTAGAGAAGTTCAAGGTGTATTTTTGGTCTAACCTAGTTTCTCTGTTTTCATCACTCAACATTCTACTTTGATGTGTCGCACCCTGGACTTCCTTTTACTACATCTTGATATTCTACTGCAAATCATGACTCATCCTTAAATCATAGAGAAACTCATCAAAATCCCAAACTGCACAGCACATATGAATTCAGTCTTTCAAAAGGGCAGCATTCTTAGAACGTTACTTGGAGCCACAGAGACAAAAACACTGAACAAGTTCATGTAGAAATTATGTCAATCCACTGTTGAGTCAACACATTTATTAGATCAATAAATACGAGCTCTATGTGTGGTAATTTTGGTCTTAGTACCAGTTATTAAACTGTGTTACATGATACGTTAACTGAAAATAAGCTACAAAACAGAAAGTATAGTGTGACTCCAATTAAAAATTTTATGTGTGCATGTGCAGCTGTGTGTATATGTATTTTAAAAGACCAGAAAAATATACACCAAAATGTTAACAGAGGGATTATGGGAGATGTTTTTTTTTTCTTTGTGGTTTTCTGCATCTTCCTAAGATAATTCATATTAATATTTTTTATAACAGCAAAAAACAACTAACCTTTAGAAAATATTGCTATACTAATGTAATCTCAAATATGTCATCAATCTACAAAGGCAAAGGGGAATTACGGATAAATAATAAAACATAAAATACTCTTGCCTTAAACATACAGAAAAATTTGCCATGAGTGGAGTCCTTCATATAAGTAACCAGGACCGCTCATCTATATGTGCAGGTACTGGCCCTTAGGGGCAGAAGCCAGCTGCCTACAGCCAGGTCACAGCCAGAATAAAAGAAATGGGTTCTCTGTCCAAAGTTTAATGAGGAACCCCAGGTCTAGGAAACATGAAAATGGCTGAATCATTCCCTGGGACTGGAAGGGAGTAAAGCCGTTAATTAGTAAGCAGTAATTCACCATCAGCGAAAAAAGACTTTACTCCAGGAAGTCACATCCTTAGATTATATTTTTTAAGTGTTTTGGGTTTGTTTTGTCTTAGGTAATGTTTTGCAACCATATTGGTTTTTTGAATCCTATAGATACATAATTGGGTAGCACAGGGCGCACAAAATCCGATACGTGACAGCTAAGAAAGGAATATTTTAATTTATACGCACTGCCTGGAAGCCCTTTAAAACCGATTTCAGGAAAAGTTCTAAAAAGTTATTACAAATATAAATTTCAATATATGATCTCATGGTTATTGTACATTACCAGGTTTGAATTAGTAAATTTTTTTTAAATAAGCAAAAGAGGAAGGCTTTAATAAATGTTTAGCAAACTTCAAAATTCAAATGGGGCTGCTCTCCCCCACGTGGGCTATTGCCATTCTGGTCTAAAAAGCATTAGTACCAAGTGAGTGAGGTTCAGAGATGGTCTCATTCAGCTCACAAAGGTACACCATCACACTGTCATTATTTACATGTCATTCCACACATATTACTGACCGAAAAGAGAGAAAATTCATGCACACTGTGTTATTCACATGGCAGAAAAGTGCCAGTGATGACTTTTAAATGTTCTATTCCTTGAATGAATGCATATCAAAGTTGTCATCACCATTAATGTAAACAAGGGTTTCTCAATCTGGGTACTCCTGACATTTGGGGCTAGAAAATTCTTTGTGGGCATTGCTGGATGTTTAGCAGTATTCCTGACCTCTACTCACTAGATGCCAGTAGAACCCCCTCTGATTGTAACAACCAAAATGTCCCCAGATACTGCCAAAAGTCCCTTGGGGAGCAAAATTACTCCCAGTTGAGAACTATTGCTATAAATGAACATTATTCATTCCAAATAATAACCTATTGGAATGAAGGACTCTAATAATCCCCTTTTTATTTTGAAGGAAATGTAGTCTTGAAAGGAGAATACTTAACAACCTTCATCCTTAAGGAATAGTCATGCAAAGTGATGTTGGCTTTGGAAAGCTTTTTTCCTTATCTATTTAATGTAAGTTCTGTTATCCTACTCACAGCTTTCAATGCAACAATTTATTGAGCATCTACTCTGCACCAGATGCGGTGTTAGGCACATCCTGTACTCACGTCCACTGACTCACACCCTGCTCGGGCTGTTTGGGTTGTTTTTAGGACATGCTTTGCCACCAGAAAAGAAACACGGACACCTTAAAAAACCCTCAAGAGAGCAGAGTGTCCTTGTCAATAAAGGAGCCCCACAGTTCCAATCAGGTTCCTTAAAATTCTTTACCCTTTTTAGTAATTCTACACATTTCCAACATTTAAAGGTTTTTTTAAAAAAAAAAAAAGGCCAGAAGGCCTTTGCTATATTTGGCATAGAATGACCATCAGGGGTCTTTGCAGGCAGGATCATTACTGGAAACTCCAAAAACAATTAGGGACAGTCTTCTTAACTGTCTGACCCACGTGCCCTCCTAACACAATTTGTAATTTTATAATCCCCATAAATTGAAACTCATAACTGACCTTTCCCAAATAAGTGTGTGTCACAGAGAGACAGAAGAAAAGGGAGAGAGATCGGAGGGTATTTTGTTTGGCAGTAGGGCTCAGAAATCAATTTGAGCTCATTAATAGATGCCCGGAACATGCTTGGTTTCTCGTCACCTCCGCCCTCCCCCGCCAGGAGTGAAGCACAGACGTGAGAGGATGGGTGTGTTTGAGGTGCTTGAGCAATAGAAAACACACACACACACACTCACACACACCTGGGAGAGAAAAACCTGTAAGTTCGAAATCCAAAATGGCCAAAATGACTTCAAAGTTTTCAAGATGCTGCCCTGAAAACGTTCGTTGGGCGGCTGCCCCTCTAAGTAAATAAAGCCGTAACTTGTCTCCCTCTCCAGCGCAGGGCTCCCCCGGCTGACAGTGGCTGCACAAAACCCCTCCTGTGCCGAGCAGCGGAAACTCCTAATGAGATTAGTTGGTGTGTGTGCAGACATTACTTAGCAATGACTACAGGGGCTCTCTCTTCCTGCAGCAGCCAGTGGAAAATTCAGGGAACTTTTTCCCCCGCAGCAGCAGAATCCCTTTAACCCTCTTCCCCAGCCAACTCCAAAAACAACTCAGCCTCCCCCAGCGTCCCCCCTCCTGGCCGGGGTGCTGGGGGGAGTTAAAGACCCGCCAGGGACTTCCAAAAGCGGGAGGGTGGGAGGGGGCCGGCGGGGAAGGGGCGGGTGACCCCTCGAACACTACAAAGGAAACTGTAAAAGGCACAAATACATAAACCTGAGAAGGAGCAAACCACAGTTTCTTTGTGAGCTCCTCTAGTGAGTCATTTTCAAGATGCTGTCTGCTGCCAGTTTCAAAGCGGAAGCGCATGGCAATTAGTCTTGCCGTTTCCAGACAAGCCAGAAACTCTCCCGACACTCGTTTCTTTTTTTTTTTTTCCTTCTAAAAAGCCCCTTTTGCAGTTTCTGAAATAACATTTCTTTCTCCCACCTCCATCCGCCGCCTAACTGCAGCTTGTCCTCAGGACGATTCGGTTCAGAAAACGTAACAAAACCGAGACCTCTAATTTTTTTTTTTTTATGCCTCCAAAATTGTAATTCCTCCCCCCAAAAGTTACGGAAGCATTACAGGCCAACATTCAGATGCAAGCTGAAGAGCCCCATCCCAAAGTGCTGGGGGCTCCAAGACCACCTCCTGCCCGGTCCTCCTCCAAAACCATGTCCAGTAATGACTCCACCGGCTTTTAAAGGTCCGGCTGGGCGTGCGCCTGGGGCGGGGACCCGGGCGGGGGTCACCTGCCGAGCGAGAGGGGACGCGGCCCCCAGCCCCGCGGCTCGGCTCCCCACGCCCTCCGCTTCCCTCTCCACCCCTGCCCTCTCCCTGAATTCGACCGTCGGTGCCCACTGCCACCCCGAGGAGAGCCACAGCCCCGGCTAGGTCAGCGGTGGTCCAGCCTCCAGGCACGCAGCCCGCTCCAGTCACCGTTCCTCCCAGAGGGACCCCAAGTCTCACCGCCGCCCGCTCCCCCGCGCACCCCCTCCTCCCGGCTCACAGCGCAGCCCAGGGCGGGGTGTGCCATCGCCGGTTGGCCGCAGCCCCCGGGCCGGCGCGCGGACCCGGCGCAGGAGCATCCCAGCTGCGCCCACTCCCCGCGGCCGCCCCCAGCCCCGGGCCTGCAGCCTCCGACGCGGTGCCCACCCGCCCCACCCCCACCAAGCCAGAGAGAAGAAAGAAAGAAAAAACCAAGCCCCACGAAACTTTGCAACTGTCCGAGCAACAGGCACGGACCCTACTACATACCCAGATGCGGGGGAGTTTTCAAGATCCTTCTTCGGGGGAATTTCTAGGAGGAACCGGGCGAAAGTCCCCGACTTTCCATGCTGACAGGCGTCTGCAGACGGTCTGTTGCTCTTGTAATGAGATCCTGATTTTTTCCCCCTTTTTTTTTTCTTTCTCTCGCTCCTCTTTTTTTTTTTTTTTTTTTTCCTCTGGTGTGTGTGAGAGCAGGAAGTTGGAGCAGTCAGGCCGAGCCGGCTCACTTCCTTTACTGCATTATTCCCCAGGCGGTGTGCAGTCTGTGTAAACAGGCTTTTCCGCCCCGCGCCGCGCGCCCCGGCCGCGGCTGTGCGCCGGGGCTGGCCGCCGAGGCCCGCGCATACTCCGCCGCCTGGGGCCCCGCACCGTGCCCCCGCCCGCCGCGCTCCACGCTTCCTGCTCGGCCACCCCCGGGGAGGAGCCTCCGGACCCCGGGCGACTCCGCGTGGCCGCAGCCCCTCCCCACGGGGGGGGGCGGGCAGCTCGGCCAGAAACGCAGAGAAGCCGCCACCGGCGCGCCGAGGGGCTGAGTTTGGGTTGTGGGGAGACGGGGGATCCCTCTTCTTCCCCCGGGGGTCCCTGTGATGGGGACCGCCCTGGGCCCAGCAGTAGGGTCTTGCCCTGCTCGGTCGGTCGGTCTGGGCGGGGAGGCCCGAAGTGGGGAGGCCGCTGGACTCGCTGTTTTCTGTCAGCTGGGATGGAAGAGTTGTAGGGCCAGGGGGCATCGGGAGTGGGGCCCGGGTGCTCTGGGCCAAGGGCCGCTTTGCTTGTGGGTGGGGGTGTGATTGCTTAGGATAAGAAGATGTTGCATGTGCAGAAAAGGAGGCACGGGTTTTGTCAGGGGATGGACACAGTTCCTGTCTGGGATTTAAAAAAAAAAAAAAAAGGCAGCGCTCAGAGTAGGGGGCCCACTTTGGGGAAAAGGATGAGAAGCCGTAAACTGGAAGCCAGGATTCTCCAGGAAGAGCCCTTTCTGGCCGTTCGCTATGGCCCCGCCACAGGCCCAACCTTTCCTGCCTGCTAAGGGACTCCGGAGCGAAATGAGCAGCGGCCACAGAGCCGAGTGACTGAGGCTTCCGAGGGAGGCTCCGTGGTCTCAAAACTGGACTCCACAACACACTATCCCTCAAGGACCGCCCACCCCGAAGGGCTCAGGCCAGGCTCTGATGGGAGAGCTTGTCCACTGCCCTGAGGCTTAGAGGAGGGAGGAGGGTGCCGGTGGAAGAGTCCCTCATCCCAGCCCTGTGCGCCAGCCCCAACTGCTCCCCTTTTGGACCCCTCCATTCCCATACCTCCGCCCCTTAGCAGCGCAGACCAGCGGCTCCCAAACTTGAGCGTGCACCAGCATCACGTGGGGGGCTTGTTAAAACACAGGTTTTAACCTCACCGCCAGCGTTCCTAATTCAATACGTCGGGGGTGGTTCTTAGCCCTGGCTAAAGTTAGAATCACCTGGGGAGTGTTTTGAACACTATTGATCTCTATACACAACCCAAACCAATTAAGTCAGCTTCCCTGGGAGCCGGGGGGTGAGTGCTTTCCAAAGGATGGCATTCTAAGAGCTCCTCCACTTTTGTTTGTTTCTTATTTCTGCAACCTTTCTGATTGTTTACGAATCTCTCACTAATTACTGACTGTGGGCCTCTAAGGGCAGCGTTGTATTTTACTCTAGTTAGTACCAGGTCAGGGCACCTGACTCATAGGACAGTCCAGTTGGCAGCATTTGCTTTGGGGCTGGCATGGATAGTTCAGTGAGAAGTGGGACAAGGCCCACCAGACCTCTGAGAAGGGTGGGAAAACATGAGGTGTGGGGGGCTGGGGGAAAGGTAGGGGAGTAGAGAAGAAGGAGAAGATATGGGGGAGAGGGCTGTTTATCAACCCCTGATTTTCCACAGCTAATTTCACACTTCAGGGATTATTGTTTTAATCCCTAGTGGGCTTCTCCTGTCACTCAGCAGAGCTCACTCTGTGTCCCTGTATGATCCAGCTGTGGACTGGGAGAATGTAAACTTATTTTCCTTCTCAGGGAGAAAATATCTCACACATACAACTCAGAACACTGTGTTACTTTATCTAAAAAGTGTATACCAAAGCCAAGCATATCTTAAACCAGTGACTTTCATGATTTTTATTGTACATCTTCACAACAAATCTTTGTTGAATCCTAATATGTGAGAGAAAAGGTGTACATGTTTTCATCAGGCTTTAATTGTTCTGAAGAAATGCCTTTGTCTAAGGCACCCCTGAAACACTCATGGGCAGCCTTGGCGTTTCCCAGACCAAATGAAGACCTCCTTAAGTTTTCCTGGTGTTTTAGGTTGTGCATACCACTATGCCAAGCTCTTTGTTAGAATGAATAACTCAGAGCTGACACTGCTCTTCCCCAAGGCACGGGGAACAAATTTTACTTGTAGGTGTCTGCAGCTTCTGTACCTTGCATAAGACAGCTTCTGCTGTCTTTGCTCAGGCTGCTATAATAAATGCCTTAGACTGGGTGGCTTAAACAACAGACATTTATTTCTCACAGTTCTGGAGGCTGGGAAGTCTAAGATAAAGGTGCCAGCAGATTTGGTTCTTGGTGAGGGCCCTCTTCCTGGCTTGTAAAGGGCCACCTCTTGCTGTGTCCCCACATGGTCTTTCCTCCATACACACATGTGGAAGGAGAAAGAGAGAGGAAGCAAACTTTTCGGTGTCTCTTTCCATAAAGGGCACTAATCCCATCATGGGAGCTCCACCCTCAGGACCTCAACTAAACCTAATTATCTCCCAAAGGCCCAGCTTCTTAATACCATCACATTGGGGGTTAGGGTTTTAACATGAATTTAGTGGAGACGTTAACATTCAGTTCATAATGTCTGCTATTTGTTTTTTGTGCTTTCCTTCTCACTATCAAAAAGTAGCCAAGAGATGTGGCATTTAGTATTGTGTGATCCACACTATTTTTATGCTTCTGTTATAAAACAGATAGGAGTTAGGATTATATGGGTTATGAGTAAAATTTCTTCAGGAATCCTTTATAGCAGGTGACAGGATCATTCCTTTCTGCTAGCCAAGAGAGAATGAGGCTCTCTCAGCTTTGATAGGAACAGCAGACATCTTAACAGAGATTGGAGTTAGTCAGTGTGATGTGTTGGAGGGTGCTTGGGGCAGGATGGAGGAGGATCAGCTCAAATAAACCCTACAGATGAAGAGTGGAGGTGGGGGCTGAGTCTCCTGAAGAAAATCAAAACCCTGGTTCCAAAAGAAGGGGTGTATTGGTCAGGTTTTGCTTGTATAATACTGTGTAACAAACAACCCCAACACTCACTGGCTTGCTTAAACAACAAATGGGTCTTGGTTGGCGGGGTTCATGTTTGCTTCACATGTTTTTCTCATTCTGGGACCCAAGATGAAGGAACGGGCTCAATATGGGACACGTGGATTTCTGGAAGGGCAGGAGCTCCAGAGAAGTGAGTGGAGACACACGGATCCTCTCAAAACCTCTGCTTAGGACCAGCACACCCTCATGTCAACTCACAACCCAGTGGGGAAAGCAAGTCATATGGCCAAGACTAAAGTCAATGGGACAGGGAGAAGGAAAAGGAGGGAAAAAGGGAGAATTCTGAACAAATAATATAATCTACCACAAGAGAAAATGGATGTTGGGTATACAAAAACAACAAATCTCTTTGTTCCCTCATAATTTAACATTCCATAATGTATAACAGAATGGGATGCTGTGGATGGTTTAAAAAAATACAGATGGATGAGGAAGTATAATTAGATAGGACAGGAAAAAAATGAGTTTTAGAATATATCAAACTAAAATATTTTAGAACACAGCAGAACAAATAATATATGAAACGTATGAATTGATGGTATTAAACTTATGAATTGATGAATTTTGGTAGAAACTCAAAAGCGGTTTGCCTCAGTACTTTGGAGACTGCCCCAATGTTGAGGGGGATGCGGGTAGGAGTTGGGAATAGACAGCCAAAGCCTGATGGGAAGGCAGCCCACTCAGGGGGCAAGTATACATTTGGAATCAGGAATTTTGGGATCCAGTCCCATACTGACTTCTTCTAGCTCTGTGACCTTGACTAAGTCACTCACCCTCTCTGAGCCTGCATGAACATCAGTTTTTACTGATTTTTACAGTGAATGCCAATTTTACATTAAAACAACATGTGTTATGGACTAGGATTCAAAAAATTTCATGAACCTCATTTGAAAGAGTATTTAAAATAATTTTATAGACTTGCAGGAAGACCCCACTGGGAGTCTGCATTCTCCCTTTTGCATTGTTAGAGAACTTTCAGTGGGGACATTTGAGAAGCATTGATTTGGACCATCTTTTTCGCCCTCAGACTGGTCATCGATAGGCCAGAGGTTGGCAAACTGCAGGCCCACCGCCTGTTTCTATGACTTTCAAGGTAAGAATTAACTATTTTCTTTTTAAAAAAATGTTTCTGGTAAAAATCATAGCATAAAATTTACCATCTTAATTGTTTTTAAGTGTTCAGTACAGTAGGGTGTTAAGTATATTCACATTGTGGTGCTACTGATCTGTAGAATCTTTTCAAAAGTTTCAAAACTGAAACTCTCCACCCATTAAACACAATGCTCCCTTCTCTCTTACCCTAGCCCCTGGCAACCACCATTCTACTTTCTGTTTCTATGAATTTGACTACTTTAGGTACCTCATATAAGTGGGATTATATACAGTATTTATCTTTTTTGTGACTGGTTTATTTCACTTAGCATAATGTCAAAAGTTCATCCATGGTGCATCATGTGACAGGAGTTCCTTCCTTTTCAAGGCTGAATAATATTCCATTGTGTTTATACACCACTTTTTTTTTTTTAACCATTCATCGGTTGATGGACATTTGGGTTGTTTCTACCTCCTGGCTCTAGTGAACAATAAGAATTTACATGTTTAAGCAGTTGAAAACAAATCAAAGGAAGAATAATATTTCATAATATGTAAAAATTATATGAAATTCAAATTTCAGTGTCCATAAATAAAGTTTTGTTGGAACAGAGCCATGCTCACTCACTTACGCATTACCCAACACTGCTTTTGCGCTACAGTGGCAGAGCTGAATAGTTGTGACAAAGACTGTTATGGTCTATAAAGCTGAAAATATTTACTTTCTGATTCTTTACAGAAAGAGTTTGTCATCCCCTGGCATAGGCCATTTGAGACAAATGAGATTCTGCCCCGTTTTTTGGTTTGGTTTTAACTGCATTTTCTTTCCGATTCTGAAGAAGGCCTTTCCTTGCCATATGGGGTAAAAATCTTAGTGTCTTTAACAAACTTCACATCCAGGAACTTCATCTTCAGAGGAAACCAAGTTGTTGTGCTTCATTTAATTCCTCTCATTCGATCTTCTTCTGAGGTGGAGAATAGCTGGCTTGGACTCCCCTAGCCCCGGAGACAGCCTTTCAGACTTTTCTCTGGTCTCTGAGTAAACCTGAGTTCCCAGCCCTGGTTACATGTCAGAACCATACGTACCAGGGCCTCACCCCTGAGATTCTGAGGTTGGGTCCGAGAATCTCTATATCTCCAATGCTCCACCCAGATGACCGCTCTCCTTATGAAACCCTTGTAAATGTCTTACTCACCCTTTAGACTAAGCTCAAACCCCACCTCATCCAAGAAGTCTTCCAAGATCCACCAGATGAAGTCCATGGCCCATTTCTCCTGCATCCCCACCACACAGGGTTTGAACTTTACCGCTTAGCATTATCCCACATGTCTGCAAAAAAAGTGCTAATTTTTTTTAATCAATCAATTCATCAGTAATATTGGGTTGGCCAAAAAGTTCGTTTGGTTTTTTCTGTAAGATGGCTCTCGTAGCACTTAGTTGCCTTTAACGTAACTGGAAAATTTTTATTAGATTGTATTGTGACAGCTGTCATATCAGTGTGCATTTTTTAAAAAACTTATCAAAATTGGTGATTTTTTGTGTAGCCGTTTTAAGATGGAAGAAAATAAAGCAACATTTTTGGCATATTATGCTTTATTATTTCAAGAAAGGTAAAAACGCAACTGAAACGCAAAGAAAGATACGTGCAGTGTATGGAGAAGGTGTTATGACTGATCGAACGCGTCAAAAGTGGTCTGTGAAGTTTCGTGCTGGAGATTTCTCACTGGACGATGCTCCACAGTCGGGTAGACCAGTTGAAGTTGATAGCGATTAAATCAAGACATTAACTGAGAACAGTCAACGTTATACCACGCGGGAGATAGCCGACATACTCAAAATATTCAAATCAAGCGCTGAGAATCATTTGCACCAGCCTGGTTACATGAATCGCTTTGATGTTTGGGTTCCACGTAAGTTAAGCAAAAAAAACCTTCTTGAACATATTTCCCCATGCAATTCTCTGCTTAAAAGTAATGAAAACGTTCCGTTTTTAAAACAAATTGTGACAGGCAATGAAAAGTGGATACTGTACAATAATGTGGAATGGAAAAGATCACGGGGCAAGCGAAATGAACCGCCAACAACCACACCAAACGCCGGTCTTCATCCAAAGAAGGTGATGTTGGGTATATGGTGGGATTGGAAGGGAATCCTCTATTATGAGCTCCTTCCGGAAAACCAAACGATTAATTCCAACAAGTACTGCTCCTGATTAGGCCAACTGAAAGAAGCACTCGACGAAAAGCATCCAGAATTAGTCAACAGAAAACGCATAATCTTCCATCAGGGTAACGCAAGACCGCATGTTTCTTTGATGACCAGGCAAACACTGTTACAGCTTGTCTGGGAAGTTCTGATTCATCAGCCATATTCACTAGACATTGCACCTTCGGATTTCCATTTATTTTGGTCTTTACAAAATTCTCTTAATGGAAAAAGTTTCAATTCCCTGGAAGACTATAAAAGGCACCTGGAACATTTCTGTGCTCAAAAAGATCAAAAGTTTTGGGAAGATGGAATTATGAAGTTCCTGACAAAATGGCAGAAGGTAGTGGAACAAAAGGGTGACGACGTTGTTTAATAAAGTTCTTGGTGAAAATGAAAAATGTGTCTTTTATTTTTACTTAAAAACCGAAGGAACTTTTTGGCCAACCTAAAAGGAGGGATAACGCCATGAAGTTTTGTAAATGATACTGTATGGTACTGAGGCACGTGAACAATCACTAGGAGGGAGAATAACTGATGACATTTGGAAGGAATTAACACTGATTCCAAGCTTTAGATTTTTAAAATTCACAATTGATTGAAATTTATTAATACTTTGTATTCTCACCCTTTGTATCCCCAAATCCACATTGTAGCATTACAAAGGAAAGGAGATTAAAACACAGCGATAAGGTGTCACAACTCAGAAAACTGTGAGTCACTGCTGTCATTTCCAGGATGCATACAACTGAGAAACTGTCCTGACCAGCTACTGGTCAAAATCATTTCCTACATAATAGAAATCTGACTTGTCCAGAAAGGTACAAATGGTCTTGGGCCTTTTCTCTTTCAGTGATGCCCAGAGTGCCTGTGTAAACAGCTGCTTTGGATTTTAAATGTGTAGATCAAGAAACAGGGCACTTTAGCTCTTGTTTTGATCCTAGAAGGTGTTGGGCAAGACTTTGAAGGAAACTGCAGTCTTTCTTTTCCCACAGCATCACAGTCACAGAAACCCAGGCAATGCCCCATGGGCAGGAGGTCGTGCTGTGCTTTAATGGCAAAGATGGGCAAGGGGTGGTTTGGGGACTTTCAAGACCAACTCCTTGATGGTGGGAAAATCTAATGAATTGGAGGCTGATTATCACCTTTGAAAAATCCTGAAACTCAAATGAGAATAGTGCTTTGAGAGCAGCAGAGGAAGGCCTGGGGCCATGACCAGGCTTGCCAGAGATGATGGTAGCACAGGGGTCTTCAGAGGGAGTAGAAGCTCCCAGGCACAAGCATAATAATTTAATTCCTTCCCAAGGGTCTATTTGCATGGGGGGACAGGCCTTGTTTGGGGAGGCTGGAGCCAAGGGGGGATTTTGATGCAAAATCAAAACAGATGAAGTTGTTCCCTGCGAAATTTAGGGGTATTCTGAACCCAGGCACTCCTTCTGCCTGGGGTCCAGCACCAAGATGAGAGGGCATGCAACCTGACATTCCTTGTTGCCATGAGGAAGCCCCTGAACAAGGAAGCCAGAGAACAAAGAACAGGAGGGAATAAGCCTTCATGTTTCTGTCTGGAAGGATCTCCAGTAGGAAAGGGAGAGGGAAGTTCTCTGACTGGCAAGTTTAGGAATAGAAACTGCAACACTTGGCTCAGCTCCCACCTGCCCTCTCTTTTGGAACCCGCTTGTCCCAAGAACACACGGTCTCTGTTCTCCGTGCTGCGGGTGCCTGCAGTTTTCCAGCTCGGCCCAGGTAGGTAAGTTTAATCCGGGGCCGAAATGCCAGCCAGCCCACTGTGCCTGTAGATGGGAGGATCATCCTCCAATCTAGCTGTTATCAGTAGTAAGACGATTATTTTCATCTCCACCAGCCTGGCACCTGCTTTCTCTCTCAGCTGTTTCTGAAATTGGACAGGAAAGAGAGGAGTAATTTGGTGGGCTGGGGGTTTACCTAGCCAGCTCGTGTAGGACACCGCAATTGGAATTCTGAGAAATAACCAGAGAAGACTGGGTTCGGGGCAGTGGAGGTGCAGTACTGAGTACCCCCATGAGCATGCAGAGGTTCAACAATGTCATTAGTGGGGTGTCCATGGTCATAGGGCCTCACGTGTACCCACAGGCTGATGAGACTACAGATGTAACCCAGGATGGAGGAGAAGAGAAACGCCATCTACAGGCTGCTGTCAGGAACCAGGCACTGTGGTCTGGAGGTAAAGGAAGCTGGGGCAATGGCGTGTTATTGAACTAGCTTTAAATTAACTAGGATTTCTGTAGACTCCTGTGAGGGCTCTGAGGACAGAAGCAGATGCTGGGGTGAAATGAATGGGAGAAGCGTCTTCTCCCCAGAAAGTGTCAGTGGATACTCTTAAGAGGGGGTGAAACTTGGTAATATTACAGTCATTCCCCCCTTCATCTCCACAGCAATACACATTTCTTGAATAAATATCATAGATACTCAAGGAGAAAAAATAATTATTAGAAAATATGTATAATGCCTCACAGTGTAAAAAGTGTCATTAAATAGATGAATTCAATTGGTCTCTAATAGTATGAATCCTGTTTTACATTTGATACTACTGAGGAGTAGGAATGTTAATTTGTGTGTTCATGATCACACAGTAAATGATGGGGTTGGGACTAAAGCCCAGGTTTTCCGACCAAAACCCAAATCCTTTCTGGTATTCTTTGCTGAGTTATAATAGAGGACCACACAAAGTAAAGAGAAGAAACCCAGGATGGAGAGGCAGGGAAACTGCTGGGAGTGCAAGTGCTACCACTGATTTGTCCTATGGCTTTTCTTAGACTCAGCGTCTTCCCTCGTCAAACTGTAAACTGAGGGCGTTGGACCAGAGCATGTCTGAGACCCTGACAGGCTATGAAGGTCCTGGCTGGTTCTCAGCATTAACTCACCTTCCACGGTACTTATTCACAGCGGTTCTGCCTAAGAAGCCCCCGGCCACAGAATCTGCTCAGCGGAAGGCTGGGGTGCTTTAATCTGCCCCCTAGAGCAGTGGATTGAAAACTTTAACTCCTACCCCCAGGAGGAAATGCAGTTTACATCTAAGCCCTATACACACATGTAAAGAATTGAAACGGCCTTCACAAAACAATAGTTGTTTTTAATGTTTACTATGTGTGATGTATTTTGATATTTTCTATCCTGTTTTATTTGCTTAGAAAATGTCGGCTGCAGCCCACCAATCTGACTTCATGATCCATGAATGGTTTGAGAGGCACAGATTGCTGAAAACTGATGGGTAGTGGTGGGGCAGACCATAGGACAGCGGGATCACAGCAGCCAGATGAGGTCGAGTAGGAGAAGCAGCTTCATATAAAAGGGAGAGCATTTGTCTGTGTATGTGTGAGTCAGCGCCCTTCCGAACATCCCCCTACACTTTCGCATTGTCTGTCATCCCACCAAGCACATTCCCACCTCTGTCACGGAGCTATCTTCCCCAAATGCAATATTTAAAAGACACTTCTGAACGTCTTAGCTTTGTTTATCACTGTCCTGATTTATCAGCCCACCAGCCAACGTATTTCTTGAGGAACCTGCACTGTGTCTGTAGCCAGCTGCTGTACAGTTGGCCCTCAGTGTCTGTGGGTTCTGCATCTGCAGATTCAACCAAACACAGATTGAAAATAGTTGGGGGAAAAAAATTCCAGAAAGTTCAAAAAAGCAAAACTTGAATTTGCTGTGCACCCAGCAACTATTTACATAGTATTTACAACTACTTACATAGCATTTACATTGTAGTAGTATTATAAGTAATCTAGAGATGATTTAAAATATATGGGAGATACAATGGAATATCATCCGTCAGCCATAAAAAAGAATGAAATAATGCCATTTGCAGTGACATGGATGGATCTAGAGATTATCATACTAAGCGAAGTAAGTCAGACAGAAAAGACAAATATCATATGATCTCACTTATATGTGGAATCTAAAAAATGATACAAATGAACTTACAAAACAGAAACAGACTCACAGACATAGAAAACAAACTTATGGTTACCAAAGGGGAAAGGGAGTGAGGGATAAATTAGGAGTTTAGGATTAATAGATAGACACTACTATAGATAAAACAGAAAAACAACAAGGCCCTACTGTATAGCACAGGGAACTATATTCAATATCTGGTAATAAACTATAATGGAAAAGAATCTGTAAAAGAATATATATATATATATATATATATATCTGAATCATTTTACTGTACACCTGAAACTAATACCACATTGTAAATCAACTATACTTCAATTAATAAATAAGTAAATCAATCAATCGATCAATAAGTAAATTTCAGAAACTGATTTAAAAAAACATATGGGAGGATGTGCATAGGTTATATGTAAGTACTACACAAATACCAATGGACAACTGTACTTATGGTGGGACGTGTGATATGTTAAGGGGGTGGGGGCACAGGACAAGATCCAGATGTCACCACGGGAAGGCTGGTTTGGCTGGTTGTCCATGGATAGCATCACCTAGGTGATGGTCTTAGCCTGAGCTGACAGGTTCAGAAAGTGGACCTACACCTCTGAGCACGGTCTCACCACACAAGGTCTCATATTTAGCTCTGACATTGTCGCCAAATGATCTTATTCTTACAGGTACAGAGACAGCCTGATAAAGTTGAAAGTAGAAGGCGTTCATCACATATCCTTAACCGTACATCCCATCCTCCAACCACTGCTTAAAGTGCACTAAGAATTAATATTTTTGTAGGTCCTTAATTATATTGTCACTAGCACAATAATATTGCATTGTTTTGTATGTTAACAATTAAAATGTAACATGTTACAATATACCACAAGTTTTATACCCTTCTTTTAGCATTTGTTCAGTTTTTAATATACCCAGAACCTCAACAGACAGCAGTGATCTATGCCTTTCCCAACTCTGAGAGGCCCCACCCCCAGGGAAGACCAGATTCTTGGTAACACAGCTTTCCTGAAACATCTACAAGTGAGTTTGCTTATAATGGAGAACATTCCTTTCTCAAAGTGACTGAAATGCTTGCCTCTACTGCCCAGAGGACCCCTGTACGTAACCAGGAAGCCAAATCAACATTTGAGAATTTGTTGCTCGGTGGTCAACAATGAAAGCACATGAGGTGAATTTCTCATCATGGAGGGTCATCTCCGGAAATAACAAAGCGCCCACTCCTCCCATACATTTCCCCACGCTACATTCTGCTGGACAGGCAAGCCAAAGGTGGCCTTTCTCCTTGTGCTCCATTCCCATTTACACCCTATTCTGTCCACACATCCTTTCTTTGGACATTAAAGTCCAGCAAAGTAACTGCTCCAGGGGACCTGAAGACATCTGGTGTTTTTCCCATCACATGTGGATTTAACCTTTTTCGTTTAATTTTCTGAGAGAAAACTCACTTCCAAGCCCCGGAGTGAACCTCTCTGCAGGTTCCACACACTCCCAATGTGCATGGTACAAAGTAGACACTGTGCCTGACCTTGAGGATTTACCAAACTAAAATGGCAGTTTAAGCCAAGAAGCCTGTCCTAAACAGATAACTTGGAAGCAGCATGGTTTGGTGGAGAGAACCATGATTTAACAGCATAGACTCTCATTCCAACCCTGTCGTGTGATTCTGGGAAAGACACTTACATTCCTGTATTGAAAATGGTAGGCCTGAGGTGGGAGGTGGTTCAGAAAACCTCTCATGACTGAAAACCACTCATTCATTGATTCGTTCATTCATTCATCATATAGGAATTAGCACCTCCTGTGTATCAGAGAATGCATCACAACCAAATGGCAAGATAAGTAACACATGATTCCTGCCTTCAAGGAACTTTCAATCTATAACTTACAGCTCTAAAAATCTCGCTCTTCAAAATACAATGATAATCAGAAAACTTATTAGCACAGGGTGGTCAACCATCTTAATAAGGCCACATGCTACATGGGAAGGTCTCCCACAGTGCAGTCAGATGGTCCTAGGTTCAAGTTCAATTCCATGACCTTGGGCGAGTTCCCTTATCCCTTCCAGTCTCCATTTCCTTGTCCCTAGAACGGGCATAATAAGATCTGCTTTGAAGTGTTGGGAGGATTAGAGATAAAATGTACAAAGTATCCCACACATAGTTAGCATTTAATAAACCACCCTCCCACTTCCACTCTTAACCCTCAACATCCATTCTCCAAGAAGCTAGATCGTTCTCTTAAAAATGTAAATCACGTCATATCATTTAGTATCCTTCCATGTGCCCCCTCAAATTAATAGATTCCTGACTCTGTATTGTGGCCTACGGGCCATGATCTGGCCTCTGCCTTCTCCCTGCTCTGTCTCCTTCCTATCCCCTCACTGCTCCCTCCAAGAGACCACATACCTCCTCTCTGTTTTCTCAAATAAGATAAGTTTGTCCCCACCTCGGGGCCTTTGCTCTCTGCATTTTCTGAAGAGTTATTAGTTTCTCACCAATCAGGTATCAGCTCAAATGCCACATTGTCAAAGAGGCGCTTCCTGGCCATACATCTCCCAGTTCAGCCCCTCTGTCACATTTTCTAGTTTACTTTTATACCACCAGCCTCTAATTTTCTTGTTTATTTCCTTGTGAATTGTCTGCCCTACCTCCCTCAAGAATGTAAATTCCCCAGAGGTAGATTCCTTGTGTCTCTTATTCACTATATCCCCAAAACTGAGGCAGTGCCTGGCATATAACAGGTGCTTGAAAAACATGCTTTGAATTTGTGTTGTAAAAATTACCATCATCATCTCGTGGCTGGAATTTATCTTCCACAGATAATGTCTGAATCTTGAGCCAAAAGAGGGAACTAGTTTCATGTCTGAAACACAAAGCTGAGAAGAACATGTGGAAAACTCAGGAATCAGGAGGAAGGAGGGTATGAGCTCTGAGAGGCCTTTCAATGCAATATATATAAAGAGTTCTGGATTTGGAGTAAGAAGTCTGAATTCTAGGCCTAATTTTACCAGGCGCTACCTCTATTCCTTAACTTCTCAGGCCTTCATTTCTTCATATGTGTAAGAAAGAAAAGGTTGAACTAACTAGGCCCTTCCATGCCTTTAGAACAGGGCCACTTTGGGAAGCCCATAAGCACACGCATGAGATGCTAAAGGAAAGCAGCTGAGAAAGGAGTGATGGGTGAGCCCCTCTCCGTGCAGAACCACTCAGATCCTGTGACTGATCCGCTCCATGGCCAGACTGTCCCTCACCACACTGCTTCCCAGGCAGGGCCTGGTGGACGGCTGCTGCTCACAAGGTATTGGCTGAATGAAGGAATGTCCTCTGGAACCACAGGGAGGAGGAAGTAACAACTCAGTGACTCAGAAGAAAGGACCACTGAGTCACCAAGCCACTTCCTGTCTTGCTCAGTGTCCTTCCATGGTGGGAAGGTGGCAAAGAGCTTAAGCTCTAGTGGGTCCAGAGGCAATGACATTGCAAAGCGAAGGCCTTCAGGGTCAGGGGTTGGGGGAGGAGGGGAGGAAATGAAACAGTCACTTAACCTTTGAGTTCTCTGCAGCCAACCCTAACATACAACTAAATGATCCTACAGCCGATTCCTGTTACAGGGGCTGGTCACACAGCTGACACAGGGGCTGTATCAGCTATCTAGTCCTGTGTAACATACCACCACTTGGTTGGTTAAAGCAACAACCATTATATTTGCTCACGGCTCTGTTGGTCAGCAGTTTTGGCTGGGCTCAGCGCAGTGGTTCCTCTGCTGGTCTTGTCTGGGGTGGGTCATGTGACTGTTCCTCTGGCAGCTCAGCTGGGGTTGGATGGTCCAAGATGGCCTCTTTTACATTGTCTGCTGGTTGGTGCCGGCTGCTGGCTGATCCTCTCTGTTCACGTGAGCTTTCCTCCTCAAAGAGGCTGGCCTAGGCTTGCTCACATGGCCACAGCATCATTCCAAGAGAGTGACAGTGGAAGCTGCAAGACCTCTTAATGCTTAGACTCAAACAGAATGTCACTTGTACTGCTTTCTATTAATGCAAGTCAAAGGGCTAGCCCACTTTCAAGGGGAGAGGAAATAGATTCTACCTCTTTTTTTAAAAAATAAATTTATTTATTTAATTTTTTGGTCTGTGTTGGGTCTTTGTTGCTGTGCGTGGGCTTTCTCTAGTTGCGGTGAGCAGACGCTACTCTTCGTCGTGGTGCGCAGGCTTCTCATTGCGGTGGCCTCTCTTGTTGCGGAGCACAGGCTCCAGGCACGCGGGCTTCAGCAGATGTGGCGCGCGGGCTTCAGCGGTTGTGGCGCACGGGCTTAGTTACTCCGCGGCATGTGGGATCTTTCCGGACAAGGGCTCGAACCCGTGTCCCCTGCATTGGCAGGCAGGTTCTTAACCACTGCACCACCAGGGAAGCCCTAGGTTCTACCTCTTGATAGGAGGAAAAGCAAAGTCATGTTGTGAAGGACGTGAACAGGCAGGGATGGGAGAAATTGTGGCCATCCTTGAAAACAATCTACTGCAAAGACCCAGGGGCTCATATAGGCCTCTCATTACACAAATGAGAAGACTCCAACACACACAGGCTAAGTGACTTGGTCAGGTTCAGAGAGTCAGTGGCACATCCAGAATGGGAACCCAGGTCTCCTGCAACTCAGTTCAATGTTTTCATACTTCAAAGACCTCTTCCACCTAAAGTGTCTATCTTCTTTATCCAAACCTAGTGACAGAGCCAGTCTTTGGAGCTACCCCACTTC